TAAGTCGATCGCACAAATCTGTGGTTTGATACAAATCTGTTGTGTCATCCGACAGACATATTTAAGAAATCGTTTTTTTAATACAAATCAGACAAAATATAGACAAATCTGTTGTGTCATACGATAGACATTTTTAACAACTCTGTTGTACGGCAGGGGTAATTCTGACCACGAAAACATTCTAATAATTTGAAAAAAATATGAGTCATTCTAGTAATATCACCATAAATTTGAGTCATTCTAATTTTCTTCCCTTAATTTATTCTATCCCAAAAGTATTAGTTCTTTATTTCTCTTTGTTTGTCTTGTAATGTAGTTTCTTTGGCTACTTAATGGCCCTCTTGTATCACGAATTGAATTAAGCAAAGAGTAGTTCTCTTTCTTCATATTCTCTCTTACAGAAACTCTCTCTAAGTCTCTAATCTTTCTGGTTACTAAATCTCTCAAGAACACTCTCAAGAACACTCTTATTCTCCTTATACTCTCTACTGCATTCTCTTTCATTCTCTCTGGTTTCTATCATTCTCCTTCACTTAAATCGACCATTCTCTGTCTCTACATCACTTTTACACTCTGTTTTATCTATTCTCTCAATTTTAACACTTCTTTTGTTCAAAACCAATGACATTTTATCCTTTTAATGTCTAATGACTCTTCTTTTCAACAAAGTGTATCAAAAGCAAGCTATTTAACATTGAAAAGCAAATCAATTATCATTGAAAAGCATAGTCATTTAACAATAAAAACATAATCTTGTCTTACATAATAACATTATTAAAACACAACAAGCATAACAACATAACCATTTTCTTCTTATCACATTCACCATGATTTCAGAAAAAAACTCCATGATACCAACCAACAACACACATCCAACGACAGCTAATAGCACCATTTTCTTCAAGCTACCTTTACCTTCAGCCAACACTTCTTCCACCTTATCAAACAGCTCTTTCTCCACTTTCAATTGAACTCTCTCACCCAACAAAATCTCATTTCTTCTCATTTCTCTCAACTCTTCTTCAAGTCTTGCAGTTTTGAATTCAAGATTTTCAACCTCGTTTATCAATGCCTCATCAATCCATTTGAAGATATGATTATCATTCTCAAGCTAAAAATAACAACAAAGCTTATTAAATTCGATAACAGAAAACAACACATCTTATTAAGGAACCTAATTCAAATATCACAATAGTAACACAACACAGCTAATGAGAGAGAGTTCACATTCTTTTTTGCAACATAAGCACAACGAAAATACCTTCTTTAAGGATTGTTGTTAGATTTCGACATCAGAGGAAGCATTTCTTTACCACACCAGCATCTCTTTGGAATTCCGTTGACACTCCACCCCTGCGACGAGAAGAAATCACTCCATTAGATGCTTCAGATGTGTTACTCGAATCTCCTGACATTGTTCTCTCAAAGTTTCAATCACATAAAGGTTTTAGGGTTCTTATTTTAATTCGAATTGGAGATTTTTTTCTGTCGGGTTTTAGTTCTGGTCCGTGTTTAGGTTTGATCGGGTTTTATTTAAGATTCTGGTTTAGTATTGTTTGGTTTAGCGTCCAACCCGTGGTTTGACTTTTGGTTACCAAAATCGTGACAAAACCAAGATTGATGTACAAATAGGATTCGAACTTTTAATTCGGGGAAAATAGAACGAGGCAATAGTTCCAGGGACATTTGGTGCTATATCGGAGAAAATAGAACGAGATAATAGTTCCAGGGACATTTGGTGCTATATGATACTATTCGTAGGAAATAGATCGTCTTCCCAAAAATCTTCTAGATTTTATATAAGCGCCAACAATCAATAAAATTTCAAAATTTTGCTTATTTAAAGAGTTTGATAATCAATATGTAAAGATATCTTCTTTCTTATCAAGCAATGTAACATAAATACAAACATATCTTCTTTCTTCTCAAGCAATGTAACATAAACATAAATACAAAATCCATGCAAGAGAAAAAAGGTCTTTCCGAACACAAAGTATTATCACAAGGTACTTTCGAATACTCCAGTGTCAACAAACTACAAACAGTTCTATACACTTTAGACCCAACCCTGTTTGTATTTGCGGAAGAGGTCCTCAGTCTGAGCATTCCTAAACGCACAACACGCAATAACATAGACCCAAATGAGAACAACGACAGTGATGATAAGTATAAGATTTGCTTTGCGCCAATCTTTTCTAAGGTTTCCCAAAAGACCAGCTTTGCATGAGTTGCAATTGTAGCAAAGCTGGCTTTGGTCGTTGTTCCATAGGTAACAGTCTGCATCTGCAGCCATATTGGTCGGGTTTTGCCACAATGTCGGGTTCACAAAGTTGTAGCCACACGCGGTCGGTGGTTTGCAGCAGCCGGACTATACAACACACCAAAAATGTCATATTTAGATATGATCAAAAAGCTCCTCAACAAATGAAAATACGATATTTGGAACAGTTTGGACTTTAAGAAAAATTTCAATGTATTTAATTGTGTTATGCAAGCATGAAGATCGTGTAAATAATCTAGATGGTCTTGTAAGGATTTAGGCCATGGATTGGAAAAAATAAGGCTTTGAATTTTGTACATTTAGGTTTATATGAGAATTTTTTTTCTCACTAAAAACTGGAAAGTATAACCTTTCAGAAGTTTTTATTAACCTTATTATTTCTTCCGTCTTATTTACCCAAATTAACAAAGTCTCTAATGAGAGTGGTAGAACATGGGAGATGTATAATTATTCTTTATGTTTCTTGATGGGGACAAAGACTTGTGATTGTAATTATTGAATCAAATCATTGGTCCAACATTTAATAGTGACTAATTAGTAATTTCTATCGACAAATACAATCAGTCAAAACCTCATCATCTTGGCCTATCTCATTATTAGTGGTTCCAGTTTTGTTACAGGAGACTTGGATTCCAAGTTGCTAGAACTAAAGAAATAAAATGATTTAATCTATCTATATAAAGCTCCTATATATTTACGTGAAATTTTATTTGATGACAAGGGTCAGCAACTTCTTTTCATATAAGATGATCTTGTTACCCACATACAAAATATCAATTTTAGAAGGAATAAGACGGAAATCTAATTCAAATTATACATATATATATAGTAATCACTTTGGTCAATTTGTCCCTTAACCTCTCTATGTTTTTTTTTTTTTGTAACTGTACCCTCTCTATGTTGTAAGCACTAAGAATGGCTTTAATTTGTAATTTTGAATAGAAAAGGTTGGCTTTTTCTCAATTTTGAGTTTAGAGATAAATAAAAAAGACTATCTAAACTTTAAAGTGAGAATAGGATCGTTGAATTACGTGTGTGAGATAATGGGCAAAGACATCAAATAATTAAACAGATAAAATTTAGCTTTTTTATCATGTAACATAATGTGGGTGCCTGGTGGGTCCTTATGATTGATAGTGTGTTAATTTGAATTTAGGTCATCTTACTATAATATTTTGTTTTGGACCTGTTGGTTTCCAGCAAAGTCTAAACAAGTCTCCTAGGACTAAATATGCATTTTATATGTACTACTAGCTTTCAGTATCAAGTTTCAAAATGTGTTTTCAATAAGTGTGATTAGATATTTATATATTCCTAGAAATTGAGTAATACGTTGAGAGATTTAGTAAAATTTCCTCTCATACAATGGGAGACAACGTTTGAATTGTTCAAAAACTCTTTTACTTGGACTAATTGTTATATCTTAAAGTGAAATTTTTAAAAAATAAAAAGCCAAAAGAGAATTTAAACGTTAAAACTTAAAAGCCACTATGAAAAAGTAGTGTAGAGAATAAGAACAAATGCTCTTTTGGACTTCACCAAAGCTAAAGTGAATTTTTATAATTTTATGTTATGAGCCCCCGGCCCTATTTTACTTGTTGAATAATGGACATTTCTTCCTTCCTTCCTTTCCTTTTCATCAAACCGTAGGTCGCTCATAATCCTAGACTAGATTTTAATCCACTTTTCAAACGCATTAAAAATTTATATAATTAAAGTTTATTTTAATTTAAAGATTTTTTGGTATAAAATCAATTCACTAAAATTTGTAATGATGATTGTTTTGCATTAGCTTTTAGTTTCAGTTTTTAATTTTAGATTTTGTTTTAGATTTTGATTTTTAGTTTTTAGTTTTTAAGTTTTTATTTTTGATTTTCAGCTTTTGGTTTGGGTTTTAAATTTTTAGATCCGCTGAGTTAGTTTGAACTGATATTACCAACAAACAAATCTCAAATAATCGAACATCTAATTTAAAACTGAAAAAACACAAAAAAAAATTTAAAAAATTTTCAATAGTTTATTTTGTAAATAAACAAAAGCAAAAAATATAATCTGCGTTTTCAGCTTTTGGTTTTAGATTTTAGTTTTTAATTTTGTTTTTTTGTTTTGCTTTACATTTTTTTAATCAGTAAATTATTTAATAAAAATAAAACAGTAATTATTTAAAAGTTACTATTGAAATTTATCAAAACAAAAGGATTGTTATTTAAAATACAAAATACATTAACATGTTTTAAAGTACATGGTTTAAATAATGATTAATAATAGACAATTTTGTTTTGTTAAAAATATTAAATACTTTTGGGTCTGAAAATAATAATTGATATTTTTGATTCATTGAGATAAAAAGTTTATTCAATTTGTTTTGGAGTTTTTCTTTAATACTAAGCTCAAAAACTAAACCATATCATTTGTCTTAAAAACAAAAGTAAGCCAAAAATATATCTCATAAATAACCATCAGTTTAATTTAAGTAATGCGGTTCAGATAATTATATGGCTTGCATTATTTGTAAGTTTGTAACACTCTAGAAAGAATCAAAATTTAAATGATAACTTGTATTAGTAAATAAAAAAAAACTTTATTTTAATAGAGTAGATGTTACCATCGCATTTTATCTTTGTTAAGCATAGTCTTAATAGTTCGAAAAAAATAATAATAATAAAGCATATAGTCTGAATTAATAAGTTTTCTTAAAAAAATCATCACAACAAATGATCTCAAGAGTGATATTATGATTTTGTTGGACTAGTTGGGAAATTTACCGCGTTAATGACTAACATTTCTTATTGCATTACTACTTTTTTTTTTTGCATTACTACGTTGGACTTTAAGTTGATGTTGATTATGTTGTATCTCAGTTAACTACACCTACCGTGATTCATCACTCCTAACCTACTTCAATTAACCACACATTGTTTACCATAAACAAAATAAAAAACTACAAGAACCAAGACAAAACCGGCAATGTGGGGGCCAAAATGTAACAAACTAGAAGTTTCAGGTTCAGAATAAAGAAAACTAAAAGCAGAGAGAGAGAGAAAAGAGAACATGCCTGGAGAGGAGTAATGGAAGAGGAAGAGAAGAACTGATCAGCTGTAATGAATTGTTGGCTGAGTTTAGGACAAACGTTCGTATCAGCCAAACAAGCCCTTATCTTCCCCCAGTTCTTTGAATCCACAACGTTCTCTCTCAGCCAATTCGAGAACCCTTCAAGCCTATACTCTTTATAACCTCGACCCGGAACTTGATAAGACCCATCGGGTCGGGTCACGACGAAAGCGAATATCAGAACCACTAGCAAAAGTCCGATCAGTATAGCCATACAGCACAAGTAAACAGCCAGCAGAGTCTCCTTGTACCTGAGATTTTGATTCAAAGTGAGCTCAGAGCTAAGATCTTTGTCAGGCTCTGTCTTTTATACAAAACTTACTGGTAGGCGCCGATAAAGCCGCAGGCAGAGACGACGAGGATGAGAACGCCGAGGACAACGACGGGCCAACGGAGGAGATTGACACACTCGTTGTCGGGCTTTGAGGCAAGCCATATTCCTGACGCCGTTATAGGTATGGAACAGAGTAGGGCTAGTAAGTTCAGTATTGCCGTTAAGTTATTTGCCAACGCCATTAACTCTCTCTCTTTTGAAATTTTGAGAATATTTTTTGTTTCTTATATATAGAAAGAAAAGAAAATTGTGAAAGTGAGAGGACTGTCTCTGTTTTTCCTCACTTATGAGGTCGGTGCCTCGGTGGTTAGAGATGATGGGAAGTGTGAGAATTGTTTAATGCTAATTTACAGAACACGAGGTTCGGTCCGGTACAGTCAATCCGGTTTGGTGCTGATTTGAAGGGATGAATCTGGTTGGACATGAGATGCTTCACGCGCGTTTATGTTATACAAACCGCATTTTCAACGCGTCCTACTGACGCTGTAACTACTATAAAATGTTAAAATATTCATCCAATTATACAAGGTATCACCTATGTTGCATGGAAACTTGGTTGAAGGTCCGTTTTACGTTTCAGAAACGTTTCGCAATCGAAATCTTTCAGAAACTCGCGGAAATTTATCTGAAATTCGTTTATTAAAAATTTTACTTAGGAAACTTGATAGAAACTTTCATTTCTATTTGGAAACTCACAATTATGTTTTGGAAACACGTAAAAAACTCTTTTTATTTTAGAAATTTTTTTATAAATAATTAATAAGTATAAGGATCAATTTATTGTTTTAATAAGTAAAAAAACAAACTAAGTGGAAGAGCATAAGCAGAAGATTTGGTATTTATTATCTGTGTCTTCTATCTAGTCGAAATCTTGCATACAAATATGGTCTCAATCATATGTGAGATGCTGGAGATGATGAATTTGTTTCACTAGATGAGATTAAAAGAGATTTGAGTTTGAGGATTTTTTTTTTCATGAAGGTGAGTTGGAAGTGGTAAAACGAGGTTAAAGATGATGTTATTGATCTTTGACTTGCAGTTATGAATTTTATCTTTCGTCAACCTATTTAATATTAAATATTAAATTTTGTTATTTTGAATTTTTATATGATTTTGATGTTTAATGATGACTATTTTTATTTTTCTTATGATTATATAAAACGTCTATTTATTTATTTGTACTCTTAGATATACTAAAATAATAAATTTGAATTCACATATTAATAGTTGTATATATATACTATATTTATTTATAGACGTTTCTAAAACGTTTCCTAAGCAAAAAAAAATTCAAAAATTAAGTTTTCACGTTTCGAAACGTTTCCTTTCGCATATCCGTTTCTGATTCCATGCAACCTAGGGTATCACTATCACCCAACGGGAATTAGCCACGTGACCCCAACTCCTCTGCAATGAACTAAAACTTACCGACAGTAAACTTGAAATGTTGAAAAGGAATACGAAAAACTCACAGCAACCAAACAATAAATAAACTTGAAAATGTTAGGGCTGGGCCATACGTTGAAGACTGAAGTGCATAAACGTGCATGTTGTAGAAGCAAATTTGGAAGATAAAAAAAGAATCATCTATTATGTTGGAAGATCAGAGAAAGGAGTTTGCCAAGTTATATTACATGCCAAGTTTTAAGGGAATATAGATGCTAAGTTGAACAACATAGACCTAATTCTTGAAGAAGCAGCTACAAAAAAGGCCACTTGGTTTAGTTTGTGGTCTGCTAGTAAGTAAACATGAATACAATCAAGATAGAGAAGTCAAGAAAACAATCAGGGCAAGAGAAGTCAAGAATACAATCATGGCAAGAAAGGATAGGAAGCAATTCCTAAACCTCTTGTCAAGCTGGATTATATAATCTTAGGCTTATTAGCATCTTTGCTCTATCTTGTTTTTTCTTCTTTTTGCCAAGGTAGAGTATTCACTAGATCTAGCTTTTTTTGGTAAATCTGAACATCACTAATATGATATTAGCATTCTTAACAAAAAAAAAGGAAGCAGACTAGGAGTTTGATCCCAAGAAAATATAAATAACAAGACTAATTTTGTTTGACCATTCTCTAAGTTTTATGGTCATTGTCTTAAGTTCTCTTTTATGACCATATATGGATGTTGGTAATCAATTTTTACATTCTCTTGATAGTTTTTTCATATTGAATTATCGCTTAATATGAAATATTTTTGGTGCCTTTGTTGTTTTAAAAGATAAAAAAATTAAACGATATATAACTTTTTCTAGCCAAAACAGACTAATATCTTAAGAACATCCTTCAAAATAAAAGTGCAATATAAAAAACCTCCAAAGTTCAAACTAAGGTTTTAAAGTTGCCATCAGAGACTTGCCTAGTACAAAATTACTAGTGAAAAAAAACATTCATTAATAAAGCATAATAGTTGAATCAGCATGATCCTGACATAATTGTTATTTCTTTATGAACGAAACACACGCACAAGAAAGACATAATTGATACAGAATCATTACGTTCGGATGCATCCTAGACAGAGTCCCCATTCTCCATTTTCTTCATGGTGTGAAGTCTAGAGCCTTTGTCTCCAAACTTAGTGGTTGAATAAAGCTTAAGGTAGTCTTGGAACCGGTAGCCACTTGGGTACAATAGCTCTTGAGCTGGAGATATTATGGCATCGCCAGCTGGATTGTAAAATGTAGCCATCGACAGTCTACTTCCCTGCTTCATCGTCATCACACGGTGTACAACACTCTTGTACCTCCCATTACTCAATATCTCGACTTGATCACCGGTATTGACAAAAATAGTATTGTTCTTGGACGGTGGGATAGGAATCCACTTCCCATCTTTTAAGAACTCAAGACCAGGCACTTGATCATCCTGCAAGAGCAATATGATCCCTCCAGCATCGGTATGTTCTCTCAGCCCTCTAATGAGCTCAGGACGAGGGCATTCTGGGTATTTAGCCACTTTTGTCCCAAAAACTGGACCTTCTAGACCGGAGAAGGCATTCAATATGTGTTCTTGAGGGAGACCGAGATTTTCACACATGAGTTTAGAGAGCCTTTCTGCAAAGTTGTGTAGTTGAGAAACATATTCATCCATTGTCTTGCTGCAATATAAATCCCCATACATTGTTTATTATAATAGGAAGACATATAAATGGAAAAAGCTTTGTCAAATAAAGAAATTGGTTAAAACTTTGGATATATCATTTTCAGTTACTTACATGAGTTCATCTGAAATATTTGGGACTTTGGATATGTTCGAATTCGGCTTATGCCAAATGAAGAAAGTGCTTTCCCAATCAGCATCTGAGGTTTTGCCTTCACTCAAAGCCTTGACCATCTCGGACTGGTAAAACTTCTCTTTCAAATGCTCCTCATAATGAGAGTTAATCAGCTTCTTCACTTTTTCCATCAGTGCTTTATCAATTCCATGATTATCAACCTGTAAATACATCAGCCCGCATTTAAGGCTATATACTAGAACTGGATCTAGGAACGTTTACATATGCATACTTAGAAACTCGATTTGTGGATAAAGATATATATATGCATACCATGAAGAAGCCCCACTTATCACATGCATGATCAAGAAGTGACATAGTCTTGGTTCTGTTTTCTCCATACAGTTCACTAAAATCAATGACTGGAATATCCATCTCTTTCTCTTTGATTAAACCCATCTTTTGTTTTTTTTTTTTTGTTCTCAGATACAAATTGAATGGATAAGCTATTGATTTGAGAAGTATTTATAGGCATGGAGTGAGCATTATGTCTCTTTTTCTTTGGAGACATAGTTGCCTACTTGGAGAGGCAAAAACCATTTGCTTCTTTCAATACCAGTTTTAACTCCGGGAGTGTCACTACAATTAAATAAAATGAACATAAGTAAAGTATCTTCCTTGAAAATGAAAAATGAGCCATAGGATTAAAGAAAAGTCCAAGTTCACTCCATACAACCATGCATGTGATCAAAAGTTTTGATTTTTCTATTATGATTTCTTCTAACCTAATTTATGTGAATTTTCTTTCTTCTTTACAAGGAAAGTGTTTTTCCTTATCACTCGCTCATAAATTATATTCACTGGACCTAGCCCATCCTGCTTCGTATTGTATTGTGTGCCTTAATGCATCTCTTTTGTATTGTTGTTGTTAAAATTAGGTCTATAGTTGTTCTTGAGTTTCGATATACTCACTTGAAAATAGATATGAGACAATGAAATCTTTTATCTAATTGTTTAATTAATAACTCTCGAGAAAAAGAATAAATTAATTCAGCTAAATATGTTAGGTTGATGGTTCAATCCGACAATTGAAAAGTCCAAGTAAATCTAAGCGGGATTAAGCGAAGGAGCTATCTCACTACTATGGGCGCTCTTGGTTTTGAATAGATATTTTGCAAATATCTGTTTCATATTTTATAACTTCTTATATTTAATAATAGGGATGCTGATTAGTGTATGTTATCTTTTCCTTTTAGCGTTGAATATTCTAGATTATCATATGATTTATAAAAATCACACCGACAAATCTATTATACGTTGTCAAGCGGATTCAACCGTGACGGCACATTGAGTTTAGTGGGACAATACCTAGTTTACAAAGACGTATCACTTTTGTAAAGCCAACTACCAATTATTTATGATCTAACTTGTATTATCTTGTGAAAGTTCATTGGAAAAATGTTTGAGTATTAATTAGGTTTCGAGTTTGATATTCCAATATTCTTTTGAAGGTTGTATGTACACGGAAAGTTTACTGAAAATCTTATCGTATTGTATGTTGAATTATATACAGTTGATCCATGTGTTACGCAGAGTACTATCATCATAGATTTGTTCATGAAACCATGCATTTATCGTAACTGCATGTGTAAATTATTCATTATTTGTAAAATAATAAAAACCAACTTGATAGTTTTTGTTGTGGTCAACTCGAATCCGAGGAACTGGACTTCCAAAGTTTTTCAGCTCATATGCAACTGTATGCCGATTGATAACTCAACTATATACTAACAAAACAAAAGGTTAAAACATTCCATATTCTGAGTTAGTAGTCTACCACTCTATGTACAGTTCAAGATGAAGGCCTTGGGATCCTCTTTGACAACCTTTTGAGTCCAGATGATCACCAGTACCATCCTAAAGTTTAGCATCCGTACCATCAAAAGAATATTATCCATCATCTCCTTTATATCATCCGTATAAGCAATAAGTGCATTGGTTTAGGGAATTTTAAATTATTGATTTTCTTGTCCTAGTTTGATTTATATTAACTTCATGCTTTCTATTGTTCGGAAGCTTGACTTAATTCTTTGGTTTTTAGGGGGATTTTTAAACTTCTTGCGGTCCCTAAAAATCAAATTAGCTGTCGAAACAGGCTATGGCTGCAAGCTTCTTGTAACCAAAATCATCATTCATACTAATGACATTTACAATTTAGCACAAAAAAAAACAATTTGAATGAGTTATCATTTATTAAAATGAAATTTTCTCTTTTCTTAAATGAATTTCAATCTAATATTTTTCTCAATAAATAATATTTTCA